TGTTTATTGGCACACAGCTCTCATAAGAACAGGGAAGAGTTCCCCCAGTTTCAAAAACTGCTCCTGGCTCAGAAAAACACTATTTGAGGGGGGGGGGGGAAGTAGGCAAATATTCAATTTGTGGTAAATTTACCAGTCAGCCTTACCTCAAGCCCAGCTTAACTGAGCTTCAAAGAATTCCCTGCAAGCTGCACTGACAAGAGTTTCCCCTAAACAGGAGTCAGAGGGATGAAGTGGGCAAGAGGATGGTTTAACAACCCTTCCAGCTGGATTGCTGCAATTTGCACAGTGTCTGTCTGTCCAAACCAGCAGAGACAAACAACATTCTTTTTCCTGCTGGGATGCTGCTGCTATTATTTGAGAGCCAAGGCAAACAATGGCATTTACAAAGCTAAAAGTGACAAAACCACTCAATTTCCAAAACACTGTAGCTATTACTGCAGCTTTCCCCTTTTCCAAAACAAACCAGGGAATTCTCATTAACAGCCTGTAACCATCATTTCCCCACTTTTAAGTTATGCTGAAGACCCATTTTATAACCACAATTCTACCTAACATTTGCAAAAAAAGTTACTCATGGTTTTGGGTCACTCAGATAAAATTTAAAATTGCAGTCTGTGCTTAAGACTAAGAATTGTAAATGCAGGTCACATTTATCAATACTATAGCTTGGTAAGTTTGTGATTTCTAATTAATCCATCAAAACAGAAAAGACCACTGCAGTCTCCAATTAAACTTATTCTTACTAACACTCTATTTAAAAAATAAACTTTTGCTTTCACAAGCACAAAACCTATGATTTTATGTGTAACATTTCTAACACCTGTAATAAATTCCATCACAGCATCACTAAGTTGCATTAGAATCCACGGCAAAAACATCTCTGACTTTTCCATCAGCCATGAAACGCCACAAGAGCTCCTGAGGCAATTTCACTTTCGCTATGAGTTTAAAGGGACTTTCTCAAAACTCACTGGAGTAAACAAGGGGGGTATTTCCCCAGGAACGCTCTGAATGCCAGACTCAGCTTTTGTAAACAAAATATCATCCTCTTAGGCCAGTTTTACGTGAAATAAAACAACTAGAGGAGTAAGATGCGCGAGATAAGATGCAGCAACCAGGTTCAAAAGGCAAATTGTTGACGGAAGGAACAGGGGGTTGCCAGAATGGTTGGATAATAAAGCAGGACACATTAATTTTCCCTAAAAACGAGCCAAGCACAGCTCTGACCCACTCCTCCGCGGCTGAGCGAGGCGAAGCACTGAAGCCATGAGCAGACCCACAGGGAGGGCAGCCCCATCCCTGCGGGCCCGGGCATCCTCATCCCTCCCCGGGAGCACATCCAGAGCCTCCCATGCCAGGGCAGCGCCGGCCCCCGCAGCACGGCCCCGGGCACCCACCTGCGCCCCGCGGGCTCGGCGCAGCCGCCGCCGGGGGAAGCTCGGGGGCCGACGCGGCTGCTGCCTGAGCTGCTTCCCGGCAGGGAGGGAAGGAGGGAGGCGAGGGCCGCGGTCCCTGAGGGAGAGGAGCGGCAGCGGCTGCTACGGCGGCCCGGACGGCCCGCGGAGGCGGGCATGACGTGCGCGAAGCCGCGCCCCGCCCGCCATGTCCGCGCCCTGCCCTCACTCGGGGCGGCTCCGCGGCCGGGCGCGCAGGGGCACAATTCCCTTCTGTGGTGGTGGTGGTGTTTGGTCTCTGCGTGCTTTCGAGCTTAGTGAAAAATAAAGGAATCACGGAATCACCTGCGTCGGTTAGGCTGGAAAAGAGCTCTGAGGTCATGGGGTCTGACATGATGGAATGCCACCATGTCAGGCAGGCCATGGCGCTCAGTGCCGTGTCCCGGCTTTCCTTAAAATCTCTAGGGAGTGTGGCTCCGCTGTCTCCCTGAACTCCCTGTTCTAGTGTCTAATCTTCCTTTCCGTGAGGAAATTCCCCTAAATGTCCAACCAGAGCTCCCTGACACAGCTTAAGGCCCTGTCATCCTGTCCCTGAGGAGGTTTACCCCATCAATGTGTGGGAGAGGTGCCAAGAGCATGGACCAGGCTCTTCTTGGTGGCACCCAGCAACAGGACAGGAGCCAATGGGCAGAAAGTTGTGTACGGGAAATTCCACCAGAACATGAGGAAAAACTTCTTCCCTGAGCAGTCACTGAGCACTGAACAGTTTGCCCAGAGAAGCTGAGGAGTTTATCTCTCTGGAGATATTCCAGAACCATCTGGACACAATCCTGTCCCATGTGCTCTAGGATGGCCCCACTGGAGCAGGGAACTAAGACCAAATTACCTCCGTGGCCCCTTCCAACCTGACCCATTCTGTGGTTCTGTGAGACTTAACCCCTGAAACAGCAACTTACAAGTTCTAAGTGATATTACAAATTCTAAGTGACATCCAGATGTTAGAAAAATAAATTAATTGTTGGTGGAATTGCCATGTTAAGGTTTGGGGCTCGACATGTTTCAATGATCTCAGACCTTGGGGAAGGTTAACAGAGCTTGGGAAGAAGGATCTACTACTGATAGTGGACACAAAGAATGCAGAATTTACAGGCCACAAGGACATTTGGCAGAACTCCCAAGATAAGGAAGAAACAAATAAAAGCGACTCAGTAGCTGTGCTGAAATTAGCTCCAACTGGGTAAAAAGCAATTCTGGCAGGGAAACATCACAACAACTGACCCAAGAAACCCACAGACTCAAAACGTGAGAAAGTGCTTATTAGCATAAGAAGTGAGAGAATCATTATCAGTAGAAGATAGAATACTAATTAAGAAGTCTCCAACTTGTAGCAGATCAACAATAATGGCTTTGTTTGCTAAAATGTATAAATAGTAAAAAGTTTTGGTGGTGGGCGTGCTTGATTGGTGAAAGATCACCAGCACCTAGGCTTGAAATAAATAATGTTTCTGTCAAGTGTGTAATTATTGGCTTGTTGCACACTGGTTAATGTGACAACAGCAGGACCTGCTGGCTCCAGAGTATCTGGTGGCTCATCCCTGGGATATGATGGGGGTCCCCGAGGCTGCCCGAGGGACTGTCCCTCCAGAAAAGGCTGGGTCTGGGCTGCTGAGTGTTCTGCAGCCACCCCTCATCTGCCCCTCTGTGTGTGTGAGGCAGAGATGTGCAGGTTGGGGTTTTTGCTGTATTTTTTGAAGGCAGCAGGTGAGATTTAGCGTGGGAGTTTGTATTTCCCCATCAGTGGGGGTGCGCAGGGTCTTGCCTGGCTGTGGGGCTGTCATAAGTTAACCAGGGTTCAGAGACTGGGCTGGAAGAAACCATGAGGGATGTGGAAAACCTGGTGCTAAACACCACCTCAGGCTGAGGCAGTGCTCCAGCGTCACTTTTAGTCCCCAAAACATCCAAAAATGGGAACGGGGAGCAAATCTTCAGGGATTTAGCTGTACAACATGGCTGCTCAATATTGTGTTTTGTATTTGAGGTCCTCAGGGGGTTGAGACTTATTCCTGGAATGTTTTTGGTGCCTGTAAAAGATAAACTTTTCTTCTAATGGGTAACACGAGTTACAAGTAACTCACATGGGCTAATTCTTTCGTGTGACCAGCAGCATATTGTCCCAGCAGCAAAGTGATTTAATTTTATTTTACTCTATTTTATTGATGTGTGGCTGAAATAATTGCTCAGCAGTGTGATTTATTCTAGAATGGATGGACCTGCAGGACTGTCCTAATATTTTTTTAGGAAGTCAGGCAAACTACCATGAGGGTCCTATTTCCACCTTTGGAAATGGGAACCTTATGAGCTTGTGAACAAGACACTGAACTAGAATTTCAGGATTCCATACTCCCCCATGAGCATAAATCAGTCAGGCTTGCCGACTGATAAACTCTGAGAAAATTTGCTTTATGGTAGTCTTGAGTTCAGTGCTTGAAACTTGCCTACATCTGTGGTAACAGTGATGGAAGCTCATGGCCAAACATGAAGAAGTTAACAGGAAAGGATTTGCAGATCAGGTACCCTTCAGAAGTGGGACTTTCTGCTATTTGAAGTTTTAGGCTCTTTTCTTTCTTTTTTTTTTTGTGTGTTTTTTTTTGGGTTTTTTTTTTTTTTTTTTTTTTTTGTTTCATTTTCACTACAGCTGCTTTAGGGAAAAAAATGTAATTTTCTCATTAGACAATTGTGTGTGTGTAATATTCCAGTCTCTTGAAATGTTAGTATTGCAACTTTTCTCATAACTGAAACTACCCCACTAACAAGTGAAAACTTACTGAAAGTGCTCTTTCATAATGTCCTTGGAAATTAAATTGAAAGATTCTCCAAAGGCAAAATGCCTTTTCTAAATTAGTTCCAGTCAGTACAAAGCACAGTAATATCCTAGAGAAGCCTGAGGAAAGCACAAAGTGTTTGTATGAAAGAGTTTACAAAGGAGTTGGTTACTTAGTCCATGCATGAACCTGCACTGACTTTAAAACCAAGGTTTTCAAGGTCCATGTTTAATTAAGATAACTAAATCAATCAAAAGACAATAAAGTTTTTGAAGTATTTCCTTCCAAGTAATTTCTTGTTTCATGTGGACTAATTGTTATCTAGTGTTTTCCCCATTATATCTATTAGGTATATCTATGCTTTATCTTACCTTTCCCCCTTTCTAATCCTTCTTTAAATACTTTAACTACTGTGAAGAAAAAAACCCAGTTACTGTGATGTCCCATGGCTACCCATTATGAAGTAGGGAGACATTTCCCATCTCCAATTTTTGTGAAGACTACATTTGAAAAAGGGACCTGTCTGAGCACTTGCAGCCAGAAGTGGGTGATACAAAGATCCTGTTTGTGTCACTGAAAAGCACCTGCAAGAGAGAGTCTCCTCCCTCTAAAGATCTTGCAGAAGGGGAGACCTCATTAGTTTTCTAATGAAACACTGGGGACAGATGGGAATTAAAAATATATTAGGATAAAATTTATGTATCAGAAAGGAATTATATTTACGAAGTCTTATTACAACAATAGAAATGAGCAGAGGTTTTATTAACTGATTTAAAAAATACATCAGAAATTATAATGAATATCTTGAAAGTGAATGATGAAATCATATGTTACAAATTATAAAAATATTAAAGATTATATAGTCAGAATCTTCTCTGGCTAATAATAGTATGAAACCCTCAGCAGGTTGATCTTTGTAACTAGAAGGACTACTTTACTATTTTAAGTTTTAGTCAAGTTGTTGACTAAGTTTTAGGTATTGCTGAATGTCCTCATTGTGAGACATACAACCCGAGCCTCCTTGCAGCTTCAGAAATTCTGGGCCCTTTCCTATTTGGGAAAGGGTAAAAGTTCAGTTTGTTGCAGGCTGGCATGCATTTTGTAGCAGAAATCTGCTGGTGTGCCCAAAGTGCTGCAGTGCGTGATTTCAGTGGTGATTTTTGGCAGGAGCTGGAAATGTTGGAACCATTCTCTTTGCTGAGACTGTTCAACACGCTTGAGCTTCGCAGCTGCCTGAGCTCAGACAGTTCACTTGCTCCTTCATGTTCCATGGTCTGCGGTGTGCCATTTCCCTTTGAAATCAGTCTCTGGTTGTCAAAACCCCATGGTGTGCTGTTGCAGTGGGAATGATCCCAGGAATCTCCTTGTCCCAGGGCCTGCCCCAGGCGGTGCCTTCCCAGGTGGACGCGCCACAGCAAATCCTCTTCTGAGTCGCCACCGTTGGTTGTCTCCAGTGTGACCTTCCTGGCTGGGACGTCTCCTCTGCATGACTTCGACCTTTTAACTTTCTTATTAATTAGAACAGGGTTGATCATTGATTCTGGCAGAACAGATTCATGTCCACCTGCAGGAGAAATGCATTCGTGCCATACGTTAGTATGGTGGCAAAAATCAAGGGTATGATTTCTGCAGCATTAACTCATCTGAAAAGCTTTAACATGAGTTTTAGCTGTGCTTTCTTTCAGTGGCTGAGAGTAGTGCAAGTTCTTTTGATGCCAGGTTAAGGAGTAGAACTACTTCATGCTTGCTTTTGCAGTTCTGAGGGCGTAAATAGTATCCTAGTTTTAGTCAAATGAAAATGGAAATTTATCAAGACAATATTGATCTAACTGGTACTCCAAGACTCATTAACGGCACAGATTGAGAATCGACTTTCAGTCATTAATTGCTTGTAAACAAAACTTCTTAAGGTGAGTAGGGACTTGCTCAGTGTGTTGGCAAGTGCTGTAATTTGAAAGACTAAAATGTTCTGTTTGGTACTGTTTGAAGTTTGTATTCACAATTTAATAATATTGTGACTATTTCCAGATGAAAAAAGTTGTGAATGCCTTCTTTTTCTTAATTTCTTCTTCTTATCATTAACATTATAGACTTGTACTTTAATATTTTACTGCAATTTTACTATTCCAGTTGGTATAAATTGTGTAAATAGCTTACCATACTTGTGTTGCCTGAATGATAACTTAGAGGAATCTGCTTCCTCTGTGGATAGTATAGAGTAGCTGTAACAGTTGGAAAGATTCTGGTCTCCTTTTTTTTTATTCTTCTACCCCTATAGCTTAATTTCTAAAGCACTATGAAAGTTATTGTTAAAAATGTTTAAAATATTAGGGACAGAAATGCTAATGCTACTTTAGGGACAGAAATGCTAATGCTACTTTAATTACGTGTAGCAGTCAGCAAATTGCTGGACATGACTGGTTTTCTATGTCTTGAAAATGAACAGAAACTGATCCATTACACTAAATATAGTTCGTTGACACTACTTCAATATACTTCCATTGGTATAAATGTAGTTTAAATTAGGGGTTGTACAGAGTGCTTGCCTTATTTACAGGATTGACTTATAGTGACTGTGTCTGTTGCAGTATAAATTCTGAAACACATTAAAGGGAGAAAAGTTGACATAGGAGAGTGCTGATTATATTTTGAGTGTCTCTGTACAACTATTTTAAAATTATTGCAATCCTAAATTTGAAATGAAGCTTGAGTGAGTAGGAGTAGGCAGCATTTTGCCTCCACCAAAACCCAACAGCCCAGCCTCTGCTTTATAGCTGCCTTTTGTGTCATCTTTACAAATAAGTATTAGGAGATGTCAGACCCAGCTGATTTACTGGCAGTAAATGAACCTGTACAGCAGGGATTTTGCTAAGCAAGGGCTTTCACTGCTGCCTTTCTCTCCCACTGCCAAAACAACAACCCCAGCATAATAACACAGAGCTTTTTCTGCTCCTTGGCCATGAAGGGTTGATCTGATAAGAGCTGTTTTGCAGTGTGGCTGGGAGGGAGAGCTGTTTCAGACCACATTGGCTCTCATGCCACGTTACTGGGAGAAAGGAGACTGAGGCACGTGTAGAGCTTTGAGATACAGGTGTGTTTGTGCATCCCTCTGTACAGTGAGGTGTGTTGACAGAATTTCTTAGGGTGACACCTCTCAGAGACATAAGAATACACAGTTCTGTACCATGCAACAGTGAGAATCAAAGTTACGACTGGATCTCATCCAAGAAATGAAGCTGAGCTTGGCTGACTACAAAAAGGTCCACGTGCAAATCAGAGCCCTGTATGTTCTGCAGAATAGCACAGTGTAGTACCAAGCTGTGAAAACCAAGGCTTGTTCTCTGTATGTGAGAGAAAAGCCAAGAGAGAATGGAACTGAGAGGCTGAGGTGAAGCACCTTTGCATATTTTTGTATTATTAACTGTGCTCTTGGCTGGACTGACCTTGATAGGAAACATCAGAACATCTAGAACCTTATGAGCTGGTCATCAGAATAATTATGATCTGTCTTGAGTTGATCAAAAAGTTCAGAGTCACAAATCTAGTTCAGTTTTAATAGTGTGCACATTTTGAGTTCAAGGTTGATTTGATTCCTTGCTTGGCTACAGGTGCAGCACACAAAATTGAGCAATGACCTTGGACAGAAATGCGATAGTCCTGAACCACTGGGTATTGAATTAACACACCTCCAGGACTGTCCAAACCTCTCAAGAAAGCTGCAATTATACAGCTCTTTCTGTTTTTCTGTATTTTGTTCCTCCATGCAAATTGTGTATTGTAGCCTTGTTGCACAGTTGTTTACCATCTGGCCATATGCTGTCACCATTAATAGATACTTTTAAGGTTCCGGAGTGGCAAAAGTTAATCTTATCTCAAGTTGGCTTGGGAAATACTTGGAAGAGATTTCTGCAGTCAGAGCTCCAGTATTTATTCTGTTGTGACTGCATGTGCTGAATACTCCCACTTAATTCCTAAAGTAAATACTGTTTTTCAGCTTCTTAGGCAATAAATAATGAATGCACTGCTGTATTATCCCCTAACTGGTGCCTTTCAAATCTTCTTATGGTCTTTGTTCTCAAATAATCAGAAGTGGGCAGAAACATGAATGTGGCAGTGTGTATTGGGGAAGAAACAGAACAGAGTTGTTTTCAGGTGACTTCTTGGTTACTAAGCCCTCTGACAAAAATATAGAGAAGTTAGAGTGTCTTAAGTTCTGTTTAAAGGTCCACAATTTCATGACTCCTTCAGACTGGAAGTGACATACAAAGCTAAAAAGTCCTCCAGAAAACTTGGAATTATCATTCCAACTGTGGTGCAACAAACCTCCAGTGCTCAAAATCCCCGTGGTTCCATGGAAGGACAGCAGCTCTGCCAGGCAGGAGCAAAGCAGGGTTTTACTGGTAAGAACAAAGACCTTTGGCAGGGACTTTTAAGACCACGAGGGACTGAAGGTGCTTTCCTTCCATGAGGGTTTGTATGTTGGGCCTTTGAGGTTTGTCTGTGTGTGTGGGGTTTGTGGTGGTGCTGTTGTTGCCACCCCTTTCCCAGCCCAGCCATAATTTTACCCTCTAGGTGGGGAAACAATTTCCTGCCAGTCCAAATCAGTGATACATGCATGGACTGCCTTTTGGAACTGCCTGGAATTTCACAGTCCTGATACAGCAACGTTCATTTCTGCTCCACATTTTCCTGAAAACTGATGCATGTAACAGGTGCACAGTGCTGAGCCAGGTAATAGGTTTTCCCAGCTTCCACAGGACTGTGTTAAGATAAACTTTTAGGACCTTGAGAACTCAGAATAACAAAAAATGCCCAAGGTCTGACTGCCTGTAACAGTGACATGAATTCTTTCTGCACAGGTTGTTTGAAGACAGAAGTTAAGTGCAGCAGGTTATGTGGTTTTGTGAATGTTTTGGGGAATGTGCATCTGTATAAAAATATTTGTGTGTGGATTTTTAGCCCTACTACATTTTAAATTCCCCAGAAACTGTGCAGTTCTACTTTCTTACATATTTTAATCTTCATCTAAAAATGGCCTTGCAAAAAATCTGCTCTAATTTCATTCATCATATCTGAAACTTCATTTGAATTAATCTGAATAAAGGCTTTTGCTCCCTTTCTTTAACTAACATATTTTTGCTATAACTGATTAGATGGGCTGTTTTGTCCTCAAATTAGCTGCTTTTTGATACCTGATAAAATAAGCTTGTGTATATATATATTTTTTGTTCCTCACAGAGATTTTCATTCTTTTGACATGAGCATTTAAAAACATTTGGATGAAAGAATATTGAAGAAGCAAATCTGTTGTATAGTTCATAATTACAAGTTTTTTTCTGATTGTTTTGATCATGAATTCTGACACAGCCAAATGCTAGAACTGCTGATAGACATAGAGGAAAATGTAAAGAAATGAAATAACAAGTTCTACACTTGTTGAACTAAATACTTATATGAGAGGTCAGTGAAGTGTGGGATTTATATTAAAACTAAATTCAGAAGACAACTTCATTTGTTGTCTTGGTATTCTCAATATCACTTTAACTTGGAAAGCTGATATATCAGTATAGTATTGTTAGCAGTAATTCAACTAAAAACTTTAAAATATTTGCAAGTTTCTTATATAAAATCTGCTTGACATGGCAGGTAGATGAGTGATACATATTCTTACTTGTTTTTCTATTTATGCACTTTCCAAGCAATATGCTCTGAAAATACTTTCAAAACAGGACCTTTTGTTCAAAGCTGAATCTTAGTTACCCACTCTGACTTTTAATTAAAGTTATATTTTAACAAAACCCCAACTTGTGCATGTTACTTGATATTTGTCATTGCTTCCTGCAGTCTTTCTTTACACAGACAGAGAAGGGAAAAAGAGAAAGATGACCCAGAGTTGCTGGTTCTGATGGAAGCATTCAAGAGAGCAGAAATATTACAGAATACATTGCACAAATACACTTATCATAGACATGAAGAACATGGTTACTGTAAGGGTTACTATTTATGTTTAGAACTTTATTTTACTGATATAAAACCTGTAAAATCTTACCTCAAATGTGTTCATCTCTTTCAAATACATAATAATATTTCACTGACATGAAGCTTATGGATATAAATATAAAACCACCTTTCAGCAAAAGGAATAAAACCCCAAAATGACAGAAAAAATATTTACTTCTACATCTCTTGAAGCTGAACACAAAAAGAACAAACTAGGTGTTATTAAAGATTTAAAGAAATAATCTTTACATTACCTATGCATTTTTTTTCCTACAAATAGAAGCGTACCTGTTTTATATACAATAATATGTGGTTGCAGTTTTTGCTTCTGCTTTATGTGGTCATACTGCTCCTCAAGTATGCTTACATCCATCCTGGTGAGCTTCTTATCACCTTCTGAAACCTGTGGCTCTGAGCTATGAGTCACTGAAAAAATACCAGTCACGTATTTGTAAGCCTTCACCATCTGTTCCAACAAGGAAGAAAAAGCCAAGCAGAAGCAGGACATTTCCTTCATTGTGCTGGCAAAAAAAAAAATAAAAAGCAAATCAAGCGTGAAGCATCTGAAATCTTCCTAAATGAAGGAGTGACTTTCTTCCAAGCACGGTGCCTTGTGTCAGGAGCTGCCCGGTCTGCACTGGAGCTGTGGATGTCACTCAGGTTCTTTTCATGCCGAGTGCCCCGAGCTCCTGCATACAAGAGTTCAGGATCAGGACTGCATAGCTGGATTCAATGTTTACTTAAGGTTGTGAGCATATGAACCTTTGCCAAAAAAAAACAGTGAAGTACAAACCCTGGTTGAACACAGCCAAACACAGAAAAGGCTGGGTAATACTGGTTTATGTAGCAATGCTAATTCTTAAATGCATGCTGTTGTGGAGGCATCCCCAGGCCAGGAGTTCCACCTGGGAAATAATTTTCTTTTTTCCTGTGTATTTTGTGTCTTTCCCCCTGACTCTCCCTTCCTTAACTTTCAGTTACATTCTTGCTGATGCTTCTTAGGGCAGTGGGGTGAGAAGGAAGGATTTATCAAGCTTTCATACTTTTGTGTTTATTGTTGCCTTTCAAATAATATGTTGAAAGTATTCAGGCCTGGGTGCAGAGTCAAAAAAATATGAACCAGCAACACTTGGAATTGGGAGGCTGGAGATGGGAACACCTTATTCTGACTCATTCAGAACTCTGCTGTTCTCGAAAATGAAATAAACTACAGAAATAATAATTTTGTTAACGAGAGCTGAGCAAACTTTTAAAATGCGTGGTAAGCTAAATTTTAAAACTTAATGCTTACATTATTATCTCACAATGAGGCAAAAATTTGAAAATCTTGTGGCTTTTATCATATCAGGTAAAGTATAACACTTTGCCTGGGCTGTGTATTGCAAGTTTTTGTTCCTGAAATACGTCCATCAAGGGCCCAAGAAGGTAGTATGTGAAAAAATTGTGCAGTTAAACTGTAGCTTTAATACAATTGTGCATCTGCTCATTCTCATGCAGTGACACATTTTTGGTAAGAGTTTAAAAGCACTGTCTCAAAACTAATTTGAGTAAACAGTCGGGTATTTCCAAAGAGCCGCTTTGAATATAAGACTGAAGTTTTGTAACTAAAATGTCATTCTCTACAGACAATTTACCTTTTGTGTAGCATAAACCAAGTAGAGAAATAAGGCTTGAAAGCCAGACTATTGATGGAAGGGGCAGAGAATTGTCAGAATGGTTGGCTAAGAAATGCAGGCTGATAATAGAGGCAAGGAGGAAAGGCACTGGTACAGCTCTGACACATCCTTCATGGCCAGGGGAGTGAAGGCACCAGAGCAGCATCCTGTGCATCCCCCTGAGCTAGGATCACCCTGCAGCAGCCCCGGTACCCACCTGCACCCCACAGGATTGGCACAGCCTCCGGGGGGTGCTGGGGGACCCAGCTGGCTGCTCCCTGAGCTCCTTCCCGGGAGCAAGGTGAAGCTGCTGGCCTTGAGGCGAAGGGCCTGGAGCGGGGCTGCGGGCACAGCAGCAGCAGGTACCCATGGAACCCAGGCCCTGGGGACACTTGTCACAATGGACGGTGTGAGGTATGGCCAGAGGAAACAGCAGTGGGTTCCACAGTGGGTTTTTCCAGGTTTGTGGGCTTCAAGTCCTGCGATACACTTAGAACTGTGAATCTCCTGTGCTGGAAGTGTCGGCTCAGGTGGGTCTGTGCAACATTTCCAGATGTGGTACCCTCCATCAAGCACTGTGGCATTCACATTCTCTGAACAGAGAGAGACATAATTCTCTCTCCCAGGATTTTTCCTGGGGAAGCACAGAGAGAAGAAGAGAAAACAATTCTTACCTCTATTCTCTGCTTCTGTTGTTTTTGCACATGTGGAATGTGTTATGGAGATTCTTTACTGAGAGCGTGTTCTCAGTTGGGTTCTGGTGATGGTTGTTTATATTAATTGGCCTGCTAGGTCCAAGCTGTGTCCTGGCTGTCTGGAGATGGTCACAGGTTTTTCTTTAGTATATTTTTAGTATTCTTTAGTATCTCTTTAATATAATATCTCTTTAGTATAGTAATGATATAGTATTAATGTAATATAGTATAGTTTTAATAAAGCAATTGTTCAGCCTTCTGAATCAATGGAGTCAGATGCCAATCATTCCTAGATGTTGGGGTTGCCCTGCATACAATAAAGCACAACAGAAGTCACAGAATCACAGAGTATCCTGAGTTCTGAGAGACCCACAGGGATCATCAAGTCTGAAGTAAATGGTCCATAACTCCATGGATCAAACCCACAACCTTGGTGTTATCAGCACCATGCTCTAACCCACTGAGTTCAAGTCAATGGAATTGTAGGGAAGATTATTGGTTTGAAGTTGCCTTGAGTGTGGTAATTTCTCTTAGGAATGCATAACACTCCTGTCGCTTTGACAACAGGCTTTTATTTATCCATTGGTCTCTTTTCAAGATACCTTGTGAGGGGATGTTTTATTTTTCTGGCTGAGAAGAATTTGTGTCTAGAAGGACATAAACCACAGCTGTTAGACTGGTAATAACCACTCACTTATGAAAACTTGCACAGGTTTGTGGTGTTATTGTGGCACAAAAGAATTTCATAGGATCATGGAATGTTAAGGGTTGAAAGGGACCTTAAGGACCATCTTGTCCCAACTCCCCTTGCCATGGGCTGGGACACTTCCTACTAGATCAGGTTGCTTAAGGAATTGTCCAACCTGGCATTTAGCACTGTCAGGTTTGGGGAATCCACAACCTCCCTGGGCAACCTGTTCCAATCTCTCACCACCCTCTCAGTAAAGAATTTCTTCCTAATATCCAGCCTAAACTTCCCCTCTATCAATCTGTACCCATTACTCCTTGTCCTGTCACTGCAAATCCTGATGAAGGGTCCCTCTCCAGCTTCCCTGTAGGCTCCCTTCAGATACTGGAAGGTTGACATGAGGTCTCGGCACAACCTTCTCTTCACCAGACAGGATGTTAAATCCTCGCTACAAAAATCAGTAGTGCTACAACAGTTACACTCTGGTAAGGAAGGTGTGTTGTTACATGGTATCAGGGAACTGAGTAATAAATTCCAAGTTTTGTTTCCTAACAAAATACTGGGGCTGGTTGGGAAGCAACAATATGTTGTTATAAAATTTATATATATGAAAGAGATGGCATTTACTAAGATCCATTAAACAACAACAGAAATGAGCAGAGTATGTATTAATTGATTTTAAAAGTTATAAAGATATTAAAGATAATGTCACAATCTTCTGTAGCTAGTAAAAGTAGTAAACCCTCAGCAGATTGACCCATTTAAGTTTTAGTCAAGTTTTTGACCAAGTTTTAGGTATTACTGAATATCATAAGACAGATAACCCAAACCTCCTTGCAGCTTCAGAAATTCTGGGCCCTTTCCTATTTGGGAAAGGGTAAAAGTTCAGTTTGTTGCAGGCTGGCATGCATTTTGTAGCAGAAATCTGCTGGTGTGCCCAAAGTGCTGCAGTGCGTGATTTCAGTGGTGATTTTTGGCAGGAGCTGGAAATGTTGGAGCCGTTCTCTTTGCTGAGATTGTTCAACACGCTTGAGCTTCGCAGCTGCCTGAGCTCAGACAGTTCACTTGCTCCTTCATGTTCTGTGGGTTGCACATAAATGATTGACTGAATCAGGCTGAAATCCTGCAGATCTTGGGAATCCCCTTGGAGGTTCTGTGCCTGCAGGTGACAAGTCTCTAGCTATGCTGTGCACAGAGTTCTGGGAAGGCTCAGCAGGCTCACATGTGTAAGTCTGCTGTAGCTGACTTGTTAATAATTACCCCTGCCTTCCCAACATGCTTGTGTCCTACAGCTGGGTTACCTGCTTCAGCTGTAGTCCTTTCCTGCCTTAGCCAGGGAGAGAACAGTAAACACAATACTCTGTCAGACTCTGTGGGTACTCTTGAAGTTGGCTTCTCTCTATCTCAGAAAAAGCACATATCATGTTAGAATTGTTCTGATGTAGCATGGCTTTGTTAGATCTACTTTGATACTCTGCCTTGAGCAGTGACAAACACCTGGTTCTCTCCAGCAAGCAGTGCCTCAATTGCTTTGTTTGTCCAGTGTTCTGAGTTGTTGTCACATGGAGTCTGCCTCTGGACCTTCAGGCAGTTGGCTTATACATTGGGACAGGAGATTTAATTAACCTCATTACAGTTTGAGCTGGCATTCAATACAAACATTATTAATGGTCATAAAAGTTACCCAACCTTTTTAAAATTCCAGTCACACTGTTTGACTCTCTGACCTCCTGTGAAAGTGACTTGTGCAGCCTGCCTGTGTGTGGCAGGAGGAATTACTGGGATAGCATCCTTAAACCAGAAACACAGGCTCTGTCTTCTGAGATGTGAGCTTCACTTCTCATTAGAAGAGCATTTAACTTGTAATGAGTTTGTATCTGATCAGAAATGATTATTAATTGTTTGTGCTGCACCATTCCCTCAGGATCACAGAAAAGCCATCACACGTAGACACGTGAATGGTTTAAACAAGTCAGTCCCCTCCCAGGCAGTTCCAAGGGTGAGCAACAGAGCCACAAAGCAGGTGAAGGAGCCAGATGGCCAGTGAGACAAAGGGAATGGGCCCAGGTGCTACAGCAGAGAGGAGGAACTGCAAACAGGATTAGCTCAGCCAATCCCATATACATCGCAGTTTGTTTGCTTCTCAGGGAAAACTTGTGAGCAGAGTCTGCACAGAATTGTTAAGGCTGGAAGAAATCTTTAAGATCAGCAAGTCTGACCAGTTCACCATTAAACTATGTTCTCAGGTGCCGTTCCCAATGGCTTTATAACCCTTTCCATGAAAAAATGTTCCTAAAATCCAATCTGAACCTCTCCTGGTGCAATGAGAGGCCATTTCCTCTCATCCTGCCACTTGTTACCCAGGAGAAGAGACAGACCCCCATGTCACTATGACCTCCTGTCAGGAGCTGTAGAGAGTGAGAAGGTCCTCCTGAGCCTCTTTTCCTCCAGTCTGAGCCCCCACAGCTCCATCAGCTGCTCCTCATCAGACTTGTGCTTCAGGCCCATTCCCAGCTCAGTTGCTCTTCTCTGGACACACTCCAGCAATGTCTTTCTTGTCGTGACAGGCTCAAAACTGCTCACAGGGTTTGAGATGTGATTCAATCAGTCTCTGGAGGTGTGTATGGGTTTGTGTGT